TACAACTTTTTTGTACAGCACGAAAATGGCAGCAGCTACAGTCAAAGAGATACAGTGAAAAGAGAAAGTTTGGATTTGTGGAGGCACAAAAAGAAGACATGCCACCTGAGCATGTGAGGAAAATCATTCGAGATCATGGTGACATGTCCAGTAGGAAATACAGACATGACAAAAGGGTGTACCTTGGGTAAAACAATGTTATTGTATATTTTAGTCTTTTCATAACCGGCTGTATTTAATAGTCTCTAAATAGTACTGTTAGATTTGAAAAAAAAAAATAGAAAATGTTTTTGATTGCATAGCTACCTTCAAATAAATAAATTAGTATGTGACAGTAGACGAACATGCAAATCATTTTGAATTGGCTGTCAGGTTCATGCAACATGCAATGTAGAGTTTGGCAGAGACCATCATCATTCCAGAGTAACAGTTGATTTATACATTATTTTATCTTCCCATGTACGTAACCTGATCTCTTGATCCCTCAATGCTGGAATGAACTTAATTTAAACTCATCTCGTAATCAAGATTAATATCTACACGTCCAAAAGTTTGGTTCAACCTAAGTATACCAGTTATCACTCCATAGTGGCTCTAGAAGACAAACAAGATTTAGCACATGTATGAGTGGCAACTTGTTGTTAGAATTACAGTAGGTAGTTGATCTTTTCCCTAGCAGTTAACAAACATTTCAAGTGTATTTAATCTCTCATTACAAAAATTGTTGTAGTCACTAACTCTGATTTTGTTTTGTTTTTTGTTTTTAAGTGCCTTGAAGTACATGCCACATGCTGTGTTAAAGTTACTAGAAAACATGCCTATGCCATGGGAACAGATCAGGGATGTCAAAGTTCTTTATCACATCACTGGTGCCATAACATTTGTGAATGAGATCCCATGGGTTGTTGAACCTATTTATTTGGCTCAGTGGGGGTAAGCTTATTTGTCATCATACCATGCTGTGTATCTTAATAGAGAGAAGATTATGTGCGTTCACTTGTGAAAAGTTTCTGCTTTCAATGTCCACCTCGGAAAATTGTAAAATTACAAGGCTGTGTTCTAGCAGAGCCCGGTGGCCCCTGGGCCTAACTTTTGCTCCTAGGCTACTAGAAAAACTCAGTTTTTTCACAGAAATCATATGATGGGTACCCTGGATTTCACAGGTTCAGACCAGTGGGCTCCCTTTAGTTTTTCTTAGAGCACATCCCTGAATTATGTTATCATGACCTGTCCCATGCCAAATTCATGGATAAGTCGCAGGTATCAGTTCTAAACATCTGCATGTCATTAACCTGTTTTAGCACCATGTGGATCATGATGCGACGAGAAAAGAGAGACAGAAGGCATTTTAAGAGAATGAGATTTCCGCCTTTTGATGATGAGGAACCTCCTTTGGATTATGCAGACAATATCCTGGATGTTGAACCTTTGGAACCTATCCAAATTGAGTTGGACCCAGAAGAAGATTCAAGTGTTTATGAATGGTTTTATGATCACAATCCTCTTCTTGATACAAAGTAAGTGAAGATGATATTTCCTTGCCAGCAGCTGTGCCTTTCCATTTCCATTTGAGCTCAATTTACACAGTGCCGTCAAAGTTGAAATCCAGACCTTTTTGTGGAAAATTGACCTCTTTACACTGTGACTACCCAAACCAGGGGACTTGTCCAATCACAAGGTCCTTTGAAAACACAATTCTCAAGTTTTTCTGCAAATGGACAGATACAATTCAAGGTTCCACTATGCAACTGTGGAAAAATTTAAAACCATTTGAACTTACCTGACCTTTTAGAAAACAGCCCTCAAATTTATGAATGTTATTGCTCCTTGAGAATCTTTTTTTTGCAAAGAACATTGTGATTGGATAATCTTCTTCCAAGTGCCCCGGTTTAATGCGCGTCGATCGTTATAAAATAGCCAAACGAGGCTTCGAAGAGTATTACAAGAACTAATGAACACAATTCTAAACGAAACAGAGCCATAATTGTTCCTAAAGTATGGCTTAAGTTGCCTGCAACCGGTGAAAAGACTTCATACAACCCTTTGTCCAAACGCCACGTCGGATAAGACAAGACAGTCAGAACGCATGCGTTCACTAGTAACACAACCCGAATAGAGTCATGGGATTTTTTCCCGCTCTGCTTTTAAAAATCTGTAGGGGCGCTCAGCATTACTAGCAGGGCCGTGACGTAACAACATGGCGTTCTGCGTGCACGTTTCGTAGCGTGAACGTTTGAATAAATCTTTGCTGCAAATTGCCAAGAAAGGAAGTAATTTATCAGGTAATTGAAGCTCCTGTGGGTTTCTTTTGATTATTTTTGAGTTAGTGGCGATGCTGGTTTTAACCTGTGCTCTTTTGCGCTTATGGGTGAAGGTTCTGTCGGATAGTTCACCGCCGTCATGGCGGCGTGGGGACATCCAGGCATGGCTGCAGTGCCCGCTGAAATTACCGAGGAAAAGCTTCAAGAAAAAGGTAATCTCGTGGTATTTTGTACTGTACGCAAACTTTCTAACGTTTATTTACAGCCTAAGGGGAAGCATTCGCTATAATTTATTGCGGATAATGATCTGTCTGAACAAAGGGCCTGGACTTGGATTGCAGTGTCAGTCTCTTAACAGTGTTAACGTCGGTACACACTGGGCGACAAGTTGCAGCAACTAGTCGCATTTCTTATGTACTGGAGAATTTTTGTGAAAGTCTTTGCCTCCACAACAGAATTTTGCAAAATGTTGCAAAAAATCAAATCAGACAGAATTTGTGCAACTTGTTGCGGCGACATAATTCTGTTGCAGTGTCAAAGATTTTTCACAAAAATTCTCCAGTACACACAAAACGATTTGTTGCTGCGAGGTGTCGTTGCAACGTGTTGCCACAACTAGCTGCGCCGCAATGTGTTGCTGCAATTTACCGCATAGTGTGTTCCAACCTTTATAGTGCAAAAGCATAGAATGCACACGGAAAGAGACCTAAGAAAACAGACTTTTTTGCCATTTTAATAGTAAATTTTGGTAAGATTTCCTTACATCCCCATAAAACAATAATTTCTTTACTATTTCACACAAATAGTGAACGTATTTCGATGTGATTTCACTTTAAGAACTATTGCTTACAGCTAGAGTGTAGATTACAAGTCATAGACTAAGAACGGCTCCTTTAGTTTTCAAATACTTCATCCTATCAGGCATCATGAGATATGTTTCTGTTAGAAAGTGGCTGGGTTTTCTGAAATTGGGTCTTATTTCAGCCTGCAAAGAAAGTAGTATCGATAGCCCAGGGCTAGTGGATTTTGCTATCGGGCTAGTGAATTCTGTTCCTAACTTGTCCAACAGGCAAGTGAGGTGTTTTGGGAATTCAACTTACAGAAGACCTGTCAAATCAATTCTGCTCATCAAAAAATATTGTGGGCTAGTTGAAATGACGTTTGGCTAGTAAATGCTAGCTTCAAGTTGCCCGAATGGCAAGCTGTAAAAATGACTTTCTTTGCACCCTGTATTTAATTCCATCCTGGATATTGTTGTGCTGATGTGCTTACATGTATGCTTGTGATTGACTACAACTTTTTTGTACAGCACGAAAATGGCAGCAGCTACAGTCAAAGAGATACAGTGAAAAGAGAAAGTTTGGATTTGTGGAGGCACAAAAAGAAGACATGCCACCTGAGCATGTGAGGAAAATCATTCGAGATCATGGTGACATGTCCAGTAGGAAATACAGACATGACAAAAGGGTGTACCTTGGGTAAAACAATGTTATTGTATATTTTAGTCTTTTCATAACCGGCTGTATTTAATAGTCTCTAAATAGTACTGTTAGATTTGAAAAAAAAAAATAGAAAATGTTTTTGATTGCATAGCTACCTTCAAATAAATAAATTAGTATGTGACAGTAGACGAACATGCAAATCATTTTGAATTGGCTGTCAGGTTCATGCAACATGCAATGTAGAGTTTGGCAGAGACCATCATCATTCCAGAGTAACAGTTGATTTATACATTATTTTATCTTCCCATGTACGTAACCTGATCTCTTGATCCCTCAATGCTGGAATGAACTTAATTTAAACTCATCTCGTAATCAAGATTAATATCTACACGTCCAAAAGTTTGGTTCAACCTAAGTATACCAGTTATCACTCCATAGTGGCTCTAGAAGACAAACAAGATTTAGCACATGTATGAGTGGCAACTTGTTGTTAGAATTACAGTAGGTAGTTGATCTTTTCCCTAGCAGTTAACAAACATTTCAAGTGTATTTAATCTCTCATTACAAAAATTGTTGTAGTCACTAACTCTGATTTTGTTTTGTTTTTTGTTTTTAAGTGCCTTGAAGTACATGCCACATGCTGTGTTAAAGTTACTAGAAAACATGCCTATGCCATGGGAACAGATCAGGGATGTCAAAGTTCTTTATCACATCACTGGTGCCATAACATTTGTGAATGAGATCCCATGGGTTGTTGAACCTATTTATTTGGCTCAATGGGGGTAAGCTTATTTGTCATCATACCATGCTGTGTATCTTAATAGTGAGAAGATTATGTGCTTTCACTTGTGAAAAGTTTCTCCTTTCAATGTCCACCTCGGAAAATTGTGAAATTACAAGGCTGTGTAGTAGCAGACCCCGGTGGCCCCTGGGCCTAACTTTTGCTCCTAGGCTACTAGAAAAACTCAGTTTTTTCACAGAAATCATATGATGGGTACCCTGGATTTCACAGGTTCAGACCAGTGGGCTCCCTTTAGTTTTTCCCTGAATTATGTTATCGTGACCTATCCCATGAAAAATTCAAGGATAAGTCGCAGGTATCAGTTCTAAACATCTGCATGTCATTAACCTGTTTTAGCACCATGTGGATCATGATGCGACGAGAAAAGAGAGACAGAAGGCATTTTAAGAGAATGAGATTTCCGCCTTTTGATGATGAGGAACCTCCTCTGGATTATGCAGACAATATCCTGGATGTTGAACCTTTGGAACCTATCCAAATTGAGTTGGACCCAGAAGAAGATTCAAGTGTTTATGAATGGTTTTATGATCACAATCCTCTTCTTGATACAAAGTAAGTGAAGATGATATTTCCTTGCCAGCAGCTGTGCCTTTCCATTTCCATTTGAGCTCAATTTACACAGTGCCGTCAAAGTTGAAATCCAGACCTTTTTGTGGAAAATTGACCTCTTTACACTGTGACTACCCAAACCAGGGGACTTGTCCAATCACAAGGTCCTTTGAAAACACAATTCTCAAGTTTTTCTGCAAATGGACAGATACAATTCAAGGTTCCACTATGCAACTGTGGAAAAATTTAAAACCATTTGAACTTACCTGACCTTTTAGAAAACAGCCCTCAAATTTATGAATGTTATTGCTCCTTGAGAATCTTTTTTTTGCAAAGAACATTGTGATTGGATAATCTTCTTCCAAGTGCCCCGGTTTAGTCGCACTGTAACACTTATTTTTTAGTAAGGTTCTTGTCAAATGGTTTTGATTGATTCTTTGAATAAAATAAAACCTTGCGAAAAAGGAAAAAGTTCAGTATCTTCACAGCTAACATGAATACTAAGTTTGCCATTCTCATTTTTCTTAGAATGATCAACGGCTCTTCCTACCGAAGATGGAACATAACACTTCCCATAATGTCAACGCTCTATCGACTGGGGAACCAACTTTTGACCGATCTTGTGGATGATAACTACTTTTACTTGTTTGACCTTAAAGCATTCTTTACTGCAAAGGCGCTGAATGTTGCCATTCCTGGAGGACCTAAATTTGAACCTCTGGTTAGAGATGTGAACCTCCATGATGAAGATTGGAATGAATTTAATGACATTAACAAGATCATTATTAGACAGCCAGTGAGAACTGAGTACAGGATTGCATTTCCCTACCTGTATAATAGCTTGCCCTACAAAGTCCATCTGCCCTGGTAAGTCAGTCATCTATGTACCATGTAATTTAACTCTTATTATCTTTTTTGTTGGGTTTTCAATTTTCTCTTACTTTTTGAAGTTGGGGGTTAACTTTTACCATATAGTAATTTACTGCGTTCTAGGCAGGAGTCAAAATGAACCCTAGTAGTAATAGATTGTTTTTACCCACTTAATAACCAGCTATGCAAATTTCTTAAGGAAAAAATAAAGTTTGTACATGTAAAAAAATTTCAGTTCCACAGAAGTTTTTTGGTACAGCAAGATGGCCACTGTTTCATTGTTTTGGTACACTAATCTTGGCCGCCATGGGATCACATGAACAGGATCTAGGCAGCCGTTTTTTGGCATGGACTTTTTTAAACCCTATGTTTGCCACCAAACACGGGAATAGCATTGCTACAGGATGCAAAATGTTATTTGGATTGGTGGCTAGAAAAACATGGCTCAAATTACTGCAGCATGTTTATAACTTCAGCTGTTATAAACTGCTTTCTGTGCCTCACAACTTCAATGCAGAATATAATTTATGACCAAAAAGGTCCTTTGGGGTATGCATGTTTCTGAAACCAAGCAAACTGTCTTCCTTTTTGCACCACTCTGCAAGCTTTTTATATCTTTACTGTCATTTGGTTCATTTTGCTTTCAGGTATCACCATCCATCTGTGGTGTACATCAAGACAGAGGATCCTGATCTGCCCGCATTTTACTTTGATCCTTTGGTGAACCCAATTGCACATAGACATGCTGTCAAGGTATTTTATTTACGTCTTTATTTGTTTTTAGGTGGTTGACAACGCAAGTCTATCAGATGTTGTCATTTGTCAGTAGAGACATTATGTCATTGCCTGTTTATATGATGCAGCAAACATAATAACCTTATTTAAAAAATGGGAAAGCCTTTGCAAAATAATATTGATCATGTTTTCATCTAGAAATTCGAAAGTGGATATCCAAAAGATCTCTCCTTGTTTTATATTTATCTTAAAGTTAAGTTCTAATGTTTCAGACAACCGAACCTATACCTGATGATGATGAAGAGTTTGAGTTGCCAGAGGATATTCAGCCATTCCTGCAAGATACTCCACTGTACTCAGACAACACAGCAAATGGTTTGTTTCAATTCACCTTTTATTGCTTACAGTGATTTTCTAAAATGGAGTTACCTGTGGGCAGCATTGTTACTATTACTATTAGTTCTGTCTTAACTTTGTATTAGCTATGTAGTGAGCGTAAATAATCTTTGCATTCAGGTTGCTCAGACCTTTGGCTGAATTTGTTCCACAGCAGACACACATTCTCTTTTCTTCTAGAATAATAAGCCAACCTTACTGGAATTTTAGTAAAAGGAAAATTAATCATTTCTCATGTGTGACTGAATAACCCACCATCACTTGTGGTATCACAGGGGATAATTTAGAGGACTTTCTATATTATAGGCATTGCTTTGCTGTGGGCTCCAAGACCTTTCTGTCTCAGATCTGCTAGGACACGTCGAGCCCTTGATATACCTTTAGTAAAGACATGGTAAGTATTCTTTTCAGCTTAGTATTGGCTTTATTTATGATGAATTCTAGCATGGCAATTTCTTGGCTTTAAATTTATTGCCTTATTAAAGTGGAATTTATATCATTACTTTCATAAATTGTTAGGCCTTCTGTGAAGGTCCCATTATAAATTTTCGTTGTATTATTCAGGTATCGTGAGCATTGCCCATCCGGTCACCCAGTAAAGGTGCGAGTGTCTTATCAGAAGCTTCTCAAATGCTATGTTTTGAATGCACTGAAACACAGGCCACCCAAAGCTCAAAAGAAAAGGTACTGTTTCATGGCAGAGGTTGTTGTGATCAAGTATTATTTGTGATTGCGTATATGTACCATATTTACTTGAGTAAGCAGTGGGGTGCTTTTTTTTTTGTATACAACATGGTACACAATATTTTCCTTTGTTATTCAAAAACGCTAAGAACACCAAAAGAAACATAACAAAAGGTAGTTTTGAGGTCTGTTTCCGCTTGTTATGTCAAAAAATGTCAAAATAATGAAAATGAACAAATTCTGCATTGTTGCTTGGAGGATGCAGTGAATATAGTTCTTAGTAATACTTTCAGTTGTTGTAGGTAATATTACTGTGAAAATCGGATGAAAGAAAAAAGCTTCTTTGCCTTTTAAATCTAATAGACGTTGTGGAAAGTCTTTGGTAGTAATAAAATTTGATTTGATCTCAGAATGTGTAATTTAAAGATGTTTTTGTCTTTCTCAGATATTTGTTCCGATCTTTCAAAGCCACCAAGTTCTTTCAGACAACAACCCTTGACTGGGTGGAGGTGGGTCTCCAAGTCTGTCGTCAGGGCTACAACATGCTGAACCTGCTTATTCACAGAAAAAATCTTAACTNGGTCACCCAGTAAAGGTGCGAGTGTCTTATCAGAAGCTTCTCAAATGCTATGTTTTGAATGCACTGAAACACAGGCCACCCAAAGCTCAAAAGAAAAGGTACTGTTTCATGGCAGAGGTTGTTGTGATCAAGTATTATTTGTGATTGAGTATATGTACCATATTTACTTGAGTAAGCAGTGGGGTGCTTTTTTTTGTATACAACACGGTACACAATATTTTTCTTTGTTATTCAAAAACTCTAAGAACACCAAAAAAAACATAACAAAAGGTAGTTTTGAGGTCTGTTTTCCCTTGTTATGTCAAAAAATGTCAAAATAATGAAAATGAACAAATTCTGCATTGTTGCTTGGAGGATGCAGTGAATATAGTTCTTAGTAATACTTTCAGTTGTTGTAGGTAATATTACTGTGAAAATCAGATGAAAGAAAAAAGCTTCTTTGCCTTTTAAATCTAAGAGACCTTGTGGAAAGTCTTTGGTAGTAATAAAATTTGATTTGATCTCAGAACGTGTAATTTAAAGATGTTTTTGTCTTTCTCAGATATTTGTTCCGATCTTTCAAAGCCACCAAGTTCTTTCAGACAACAACCCTTGACTGGGTGGAGGTGGGTCTCCAAGTCTGTCGTCAGGGCTACAACATGCTGAACCTGCTTATTCACAGAAAAAATCTTAACTACCTTCATCTGGATTATAATTTCAACTTAAAACCAGTAAAAACACTCACCACTAAAGAGAGAAAGAAGTCCAGATTTGGGAATGCTTTCCATTTGTGTCGTGAGATTCTCCGTCTGACCAAGCTGGTGGTAGATTCTTATGTCCAGTACAGACTTGGTAATGTGGACTGCTTTCAGCTTGCTGATGGTCTTCAGTATATTTTCTCCCATGTTGGTCAACTGACTGGAATGTACAGGTACAAGTACAAACTCATGAGGCAGATCAGAATGTGCAAAGACATCAAGCATCTCATCTACTACAGATTCAACACTGTAAGTACCTCCTCTCGGAATTTCCTACAAGCAAAGAGGTAGTGGGTAAAGCAGACAATTCTGTTGCAGTAATAATGATGTCTACTTCGTACTTGTATTAACTCCAGTCAATAATTTTCAGTATATATAACACGGTATTTTTGGAAAAATAAATTTATGATGATGTCTATTTGTATCAGATTTTATTCATCTTCAAACTAAAATGTGTATAAATGTACATCTTCTTTATATGTTAGGGACCTGTTGGAAAAGGACCAGGTTGTGGCTTCTGGGCTCCTGGCTGGAGAGTGTGGCTATTTTTCCTGCGAGGTGTTGTCCCACTATTGGAGAGATGGCTTGGAAACCTTCTTGCAAGACAGTTTGAAGGACGACATTCTAAGGGTGTGGCCAAAACTGTAACAAAGCAGAGAGTTGAGAGCCACTTTGACCTGGAGTTGCGAGCTGCAGTTATGCATGACATTCTGGACATGATGCCAGAGGGAATCAAACAGAACAAAGCTCGTGTCATTCTACAACATCTTAGTGAAGCGTGGAGATGTTGGAAGGCTAACATTCCTTGGAAGGTTTGATCTTTCTACCTTTTGGTCACATTATTTAACCTATTATCAAGCTTCAGCTAACCATGATTGTATGTGTAGTTTTGGTTGATTGCCAAACTTGGGTCTCAGCACCCAATATTACTTAATTAATGTCAAGGTGATGCAGTTGTGGTTCCTGCCATCATGGTTGGGAATGGAAATTCCAGGGCAGCAGGGTAGGGGAAATTTCCAAGGGGATAGAAAGTATTTTGGGGAAGCACTTTCTAGCAGAGTTTGTTGTGTTTACTCCCTGCTTTTGTCATTAGCTATCGAAAAATAAAGTAGTGCCTGAAAATACAAGTCGCCACTTGTATCCTTAATTTGAACGTAGCAAGTTGTTTGCATCATGCATGGAAGACTTCAAGCATGGCATTTAAAAAATGTGCTTTCTAATTCTGACTGTTAACTTCAGATGTATGGGAAATTCCCCAGCTTAATTTTATCACAAAACTCACTTAAGTGTGCAGACCTGTTTTCCTCCCTTTCTACTAAGTGTGTGCCGGTGTATTTATTTTTAGAGAAAATGAAAACAATACAAAGCAACAGTGATTACAGTTGAAATGACTGCCATATAAACTGATGGTCATCCTGTATTTGTAGGTTCCAGGTCTTCCTACTGCTGTTGAGAATATGATTCTGCGCTACGTCAAAGCCAAGGCTGACTGGTGGACAAACACTGCTCATTACAACAGGGAACGTATTCGCCGTGGGGCCACTGTGGATAAAACTGTCTGTAAGAAAAATCTGGGTCGCCTCACTAGGCTTTATCTTAAAGCTGAGCAGGAGAGACAACACAATTACCTAAAGGTGTGATATTCAAATAAGATAGTCTATTGTTAATCAACACACTTTTGAGTTTTTTAGCTACTTTTATTAGTGTGTGGCAAGAAAGGAAAACCCTGTCGTTTTAACTGTGTAAATTTAAGGCAGTGAACAAAGTTGCAAGTGATACAAATGTAAGTGTGACATTCAATGCTTTACGTATTAAGTTCTGTCCAGGAGTTTTGGTGATTCTGTGAGTTACATGTCTTTGTGCCTGTCCAGTCAACAGAATTATAACTATTCAGGTGGTGGTATCAAAGATTTTTTTCAAAAAAACACCTTTTAGTTGCTGCTTTTTTCTGTACACTGTGGTTCCAATTTAACACTGTAAACATAGCTTGAAACTTCATATTTTCTTGTTTGACAGGATGGTCCATACATCTCAGCCGAGGAAGCAGTTGCAATCTACACCACAACAGTTCACTGGCTGGAGAGCAGAAGATTCTCGCCGATCCCCTTCCCACCCTTGTCGTACAAGCATGACACTAAACTACTCATTCTTGCCCTTGAGAGACTCAAAGAAGCTTACAGGTTTGGTTTTTGTCTTATTGGAAAGAAACACTAAATTACGTAATGCAGAGAACTTATTAACACGGTTAAAACTGTCCACAATAGCCAGCCACCTTTGGGATAGAAGAAAGAGGCTATTGTAGAGAGGTTTAAGCAAGAGTCAAAGTATGGAATGTCTGCCAAATGAAGTGACCGTTGTAGAGAGATGGCCACTAGTGGTGGTTTGACTGGTTATTTATCATAAATGTGGGAGTGTCAGTTGCATTTTTGGTTTAAAAGAATTTGTGTAAAACCTCCCAAGTAACCAGCAAACAGTAGCAAATTTACAACAAAGTTGCCAGATGATTCTATCTTATTACAAGAAGATTTCAAACTGCTGTTTGTTCTTCCTTTTTTGTGGTTTTTGCAGTGTAAAGAGCCGGTTAAACCAATCTCAAAGAGAGGAGTTGGGGCTGATTGAACAAGCATATGACAACCCTCATGAGGCACTCAGCAGAATTAAGCGTCACTTGCTTACACAAAGAGCATTTAAAGAGGTGCATTTCTTGATGGTCAAATTACATAATTTATAATAAACGAATGAAATGTTTTGTACCTACCTGCTTTTTGGAAGTGACTGCTTTTGTATGGAAAGGAAGAGGAGCAGAGAAATAGTTACCGACTGTCAAACAGCCAATTGAGATTTTGATGTTAGTTACGCGTAAACACAAGGAGTGTTTAAGTTGATTTTACAGAGAAGTGGGTTGAAAAATGTTGCACAGTTGAGAGGTGTCCAACCAACTTTCAAGTATCTAGATGTAATGTCAAGTAAAACACTTTCTTGAATGACAATTTGGTTAGTAGTGTTAAGTTTCTTTTACATTCTGTTGTTGAATTACTAGACATGGGCTGTATTTTTTAGGTTGGCATTGAGTTCATGGACCTGTACAGCCATCTTGTTCCTGTGTATGATGTTGAACCACTGGAGAAGATCACAGATGCCTACCTTGACCAGTATCTTTGGTATGAAGCAGACAAGAGGCGCCTGTTTCCTCCGTGGGTGAAGCCAGCTGACACGGAACCTCCACCACTGTTGACTTACAAATGGTGCCAAGGTTAGTTTGTGCGTGATTCATTGTGAAGTTTGAACAAGAGGTGTGTAGTTTTTTTCAAAACAGTGAAATCCCAATTCCTTGAGATTGCTTATCCAGGATCATGGAGTGTATGTGGCTAACACCATTTTTTTGGTTCTTGAGAAATCAAATTAAAATTTTTGGAAGGAAGCAAAATTAAGTCGAAATATCTTAAGTTTTGAAAATCAGGGATAAAATTGCAGTGTCTGACTGAAGCAAATCAAAGGCAAACAACTTTTGGCTTGAAAAATCGGTAGTTTCGAAAAATCTAGTTTTGAAAAAATTGGGATTCCACTGTAAAAGGGTATTGGTATCTATAGTTACCCCGTAACATTACATGTCTTATCCTAATGAGATGAATGAAAACAAAAAGCTAAATATGACCTAAAATAACATGAAAGAGAAAAACTTATGATGACTTCAAAGTGTGAAGAAAAGTTTTTGTTCCATCTTTAAGAAGTATGTGGTAATTTCTCACGCATGTTAAAGTGAGCACTGTTGTGCAGTTACATTTGTACACACTAGGGGCAAGTTGTTTAAACCCAGTGTTGGATGTTACTGCTAATATCTGGCATTCAAATTGAACTCTATAATGGAAGAGTTTGACTGGTCTGAACATATCATATCAACATGAAAATGCAGTCTAACCTCTCCATATGGACACCTCTATAATACGGACACCTCTCTATTATGGACAGTTCATTTGGTCCCAGAAATGCCAAAAATCATACATTCCCTAACTCTATGATACAGACACCTCTGTAAAGCAGACACTTGGTTTTGTCCCTTTGGTGTCCATATTAAAGAGGTTTGACTGTACATACAAATGGATCCAGTGTCCTTACTTCAAACAGAAGAAGATGATAACCTTATTTACTCTTGATGTACGAGGCTAGTTAAGCTGCTAGTGCCCTGGTCAAAATGCATCTCAGTTGAAACATCTTGCATTGTGCAGTGCCATGCAGAATGCATGCTCGTAAGATGCAAAAGTGGCTGAAAAATTTGGGTAGATGGTTCCCAATCTTGGCAGCCAAAAAAAGCAGACTGAAAATTATGTGATGTGTATTAAAAAGCCTCATAATTAAAAGCAATTACCTTATTTAAACATCGGCTTATTTTCATAATTTTAGGAATCAACAATTTGCAAGATGTTTGGGAAACATCTGAAGGAGAGTGCAATGTTATGATGGAGACCAACTTTGAGAAGATGTATGAGAAGATTGACTTGACCTTACTGAATCGACTGTTACGTCTGATTGTGGATCACAACATTGCAGATTACATGACAGCAAAGAACAACATTGTGATCAATTACAAGGTACAGTCATTAGTTTGTTCTATAATTGTGTATTTTGTAGCTGGCAGGAAGCAAGGATTGTTGGTAATTTTAAAAGCAGCTGTAGCATTTGGCAGTACTTAATTTGTTTTAGTGTTCTTTGTTGAACTGTGTTCTGTACCATCTCTTTCACCAATAAGTGATACAGCCCTGAACTATATGTTTCAAAACAGGAGGAGGCAGTGTGGCCAAGTGGTCAGTGTGTTAGACCCGCAACTTTGGTGATTCTGGGTTTGAGTCCTGCTCTGGCCATTTGCTGGATTTGTTGTCCTTAGTTAAAATCCTCTGCCACGCTTGTAAATAGCCCACTGGTTTCCTCCTACCAGTTTATCCTGTTATGTTTTATTGAATTATTTGTTTCTTATTATTTACGTGAAGTGGGGGATAAACTGCTACCCAGAGAATTAGTACTTCAAGACAACCAGTTGCATTTTTCACTGCAGGATAGAGATTTTATCTAGTAGATAGTATTATTTTCCAGTATTAATCTCCTACTTTACTTAACCTGCATTATAAGATAGCACTTTGAGAATACTAAAGGTGACATAAAAAATTCCTTCAAGTGCCAAAAATAACATCACATGTTCACTTGTGTTATGTCAACAGGATATGAACCACACAAACTCCTATGGCATCATCCGTGGTCTTCAGTTTGCCTCATTCATTGTACAGTACTATGGATTAGTGCTGGATCTTCTGGTGTTGGGCTTACAAAGAGCCAGTGAGATGGCAGGACCCCCACAGATGCCAAATGACTTCTTAACCTTCCAGGATGTGCAGACAGAAACCCAACATCCCATCAGATTGTACTCAAGATACATTGACAAAATGCACGTCTTCTTCAGGTAGCTTTTTTTTCCCTGTTATTTTCTTTCACAATAATAGAACATGAACATCATCAGGGGTTAATTTTTATAAAACTTTTTCGATGCTACAGCACTAAGCCAAGCAATATAGTTTCCAGGTTTCTCACAATTATGATGCTGAGTTATTTGCTCTGATTGATCAAACGTGTATCCTTTTGGGTCTGCTTTTTGCCCTTATTGTGTATCGAAAACTGCCATTGAATTAAAAAGGGTTGGCTTTTAAAATACTATGCCTGTGTTAAGCCAAACTGGCCCTTTTTTCATTTATCTGGGGGCAATCTTTGATTGCAACATAGGACTCCCACAATGGCACAGTATGGCCGAAACACTGGATATTACCAGGGTTATCAATTGAAGGCGAGAACCTGGTGCCGGCAGCAGTGTACTCTGAGCAAAGCACCTGCCTTCAAGGAAAATGAGAAAGCTGATTCTCAAAATAACTTTCCAACATTCCCTACCTACTCAGCCTTGAAAACCCTGTATCGCTGAGTGTAACTCTGTTTTGGAGATTCACCGATAGACTGACTCAAAAGATAAAACCATCCAAATTCATTTAAAAATTTTGTCTTGCGATCAAAATATTCCAACACTCTTTTCTAGGGTAACTGGCAGCATAGTCCTTTTTCCTGCAGTGCATACATGTAATGTTAAATGTGGTAAAATTCTGAACAGCTGAGACTGGAAGACTAAAAGGAGAGAAGAAGATTTATTTTCTACATGGTTTTTTGTACAGCCTAAGAATTATTTTATATTAGTAATTTTTTTTTGTGGGATGAAACACTGTATAATATTGTGTGATTTTCAAGGACTCTTTTGGTGTCTTTAGATTTTCAGCAGATGAAGCTCGTGATCTGATTCAGCGATACCTTACAGAACACCCTGATCCTAACAATGAGAACATTGTGGGCTACAATAACAGAAAATGCTGGCCCAGAGATGCCCGCATGAGACTCATGAAGCATGATGTTAATCTTGGGCGTGCTGTGTTCTGGGACATCAAGAACCGTCTGCCAAGGTCTGTCACCACACTCACTTGGGATGAAAGTTTTGTGTCTGTCTTGTCGTTTCTATTAGGTTTAGAAGAAAAGTTGTACACACCTAAACTTACAGCATAAAACGGGTTCACAGCATGTTGCAAACTCCTCAAATGTGTGTCCCTACCTCAGACCTTAAACGTTTTACTCCATACGGTTAACAAAAAAAAAAGTCAGTTTCAAGTTACTTTAAGCTTCTTTATCAAAGCAACTCTAATTGCAAACCCATTTGTAAGAGAATGGGTTTACTTGATTTGAAGGGGAACTTAACACTTTTCTCCTGAAAGGGTCAGATGTCAAAGTTAAAAAATCAAACATTTGATTTGACAGGATCTGAAAATTGGGTAGTTTTGTGTAAAGTTCTTTTAAAGATGTTTTATTCAAGTTGTCACTTAATAGAATTTAGTCAATTAACTACAGAAGGTAAGAACTAGATTGGATTTCTTCAAAATTCACTTTAAGGGTCAGTGGTCATAGTCTCCAGAATTTTTTTTACCTTCAAAGTTTTGCTCTTGCTCTTTGTGGCTTTGACAACTTACTCTTGCCCCAAGATGATAAGGAAATCTCTGTTGCATAATGCTAATGTGCTAATCAGCTTGGTTCTCATAGATGCTGCACTTCAGGGTTCTGTACAATAAATTTACAGTCAAATCCCTAGTAAAATATCATTAGCTGATTACCTGTGACTGAGCTTTTCCTTTTTATTATTTTGCAGGTGACCAAAGAGCGAACTGCCCAGTGCTTCCTAAAAGTTGATGAGGAGTCACAGCAGAGATTCCACAACAGAGTTCGTCAGATTCTCATGGCTTCAGGTTCAACTACTTTTACGAAGATTGTGAACAAATGGAACACTGCTCTGATTGGTTTGATGACGTACTACAGGGAATCAGTTGTCAACACTCAGGAACTCCTGGACTTGTTGGTCAAATGTGAAAACAAGGTGAGTGTTTATAAATTAAAAAGTCATTCTTTGTTTTCTTCTGTGCAATCCTGGATTCTTGTCCTTTGTATTTTTGTGGTAAAATAAATTGAATTGAATTTGAATACAATAGCTTTGTTTCACACTCGTCACTTCTGTTGAAAGCAATTTTTTGCCTACTGCTGGTCTATCAGACAATGATTGCTGTACAGTCAGTTGACACCATCACCTGATGAAAGCTAGTAGTAAGCAGCTGAAAAGTTACTATCATTGTCAAAGTGACTATCAAAGAGGCAGACAGAAAAGCAAAGCTATCAACTGGCGGAGAATGTTTTCGTTTGTAGAAAGTAAAGGAAAATGTGATTTCCAGATGACTGATCATCTATTGCTACATTTCCTGGCCCTGTACTCGCTTGGCCTTGATCTTCTCACTTTTGGGGATTTCTGTAATAACTTTTAACGTGTTTATTTTTCTTTCAGATTCAAACACGTATCAAGATTGGTCTGAACTCCAAGATGCCTAGCCGTTTCCCTCCGGTTGTGTTTTACACACCAAAAGAGCTTGGTGGTCTTGGTATGCTGTCCATGGGACACGTGCTTATTCCGCAGTCAGATCTCAGGTTACTTGAAGTTTCCATTTGTTGCTGTTGTTTTTCTCTTTCTCGAATTTGAATCAAGGCTATCAAGTTTTGATGAAAGAGGCTTGTTTTAAGATAAGAGTATAGCCTAGCCCTACTGCTATATTGCAGAAATGAGTGCATCACTTTTTTTTCTTGATTGCTCAGGAATTTAAGAGGCAATACCCTCCTCGAAGATTAGCCTGTTCCAGGCTCTCAGATTGTAGGGATGACGCGTAAGTGAAAGGCACCCAAACATATGAGCACATTATCTCGAAAAAGGGGTGGGGGCGGGAAAAAGGAAGGGAGAGAGGCACCCTTTCTCTCCCCAGTTTCCTCCTGTTTCATTTTCACATGCGCTCTTTCTCAATTTTGCAGACCCAACTATTTTGGAGCCTGGAACAGGCTACTCGAGGATTAAAGTGCTAATACTATGTTTCTCTAATTTTCGCCTCCAGGTGGTCTCAACAAACTGATGCAGGGATTACTCACTTCCGATCCGGAATGAGCCATGACAAAGATCAGTTGATCCCTAACTTGTACAGGTAACATTCCTGCTTCTTCTTCAAGGAAATCATTTCAGCAACAAGTGTAAAGTGGAGGGATTGTTAAGTTGAAATTTTATAAACGCAAAAATTTCTTCATGCATTTGTTCCAAGAGGTATTTTGATAGGATACTGGTATGGTCTTCTTGCTTGTTGCTAGCCTCTTGCTTAGGCTTTATCACTGATAATCATACCCTGATTCTCAGGCAGTTCAACATCGCTCTCTTAAACTCTCTCCTCTTCCATGAGATTGAGCAACCAAACTCAGACGATAAAATCAGAGGCAAATTATTTTTATTAACTTACCGGTAGTCATAACTTGAATGGTAAGGTAACTTTCATTGAGTTTATAATCCTGTTCTCTTGGTGATACCAGGTACATCCAACCATGGGAGAGTGAGTTCATTGACTCTCAAAGAGTCTGGGCTGAGTATGCCTTGAAACGACAAGAAGCTAATGCTCAGAACAGGTGAGTGCTCACACCTTTCACACTACTGCGTTCTGATAAGAATACCCATGTATTCATGGCTAGGTGTACAGTGCTCCAAGCTGAAACTGTTTTGGTCACCATATAGGCTCGATTACCAGTGAATGAGCGTGCACTCCTCCCCTGAACAGAGAGAAGCGGAAATTGAGCCCAGTCGCCAGGGTGGGTGGAAAAAGTATTGGACAACTAAAGTCAGGGCAAGCTGTCAATTTGGTGTCTTGTGTTCAGTAGTAATGTAGCAATGCAGTGTTTTTCATTACTTTGTGTTGATGGTCTTTTTCAAGTTAAAGTAAGATAAATAATTGTACGAAATAAATATATTTTTGCTCCATTTTCATAACAATTCACCTCTTTGACGGTAAAAATGTCAGCTTTTGAATCGTTTCATTGTGGTAAATTGACTTATATAAAACTTGGCTTTTTTTTCACTCCCCACCTACACAACGCAACAATACAGTTTCTTTTGAAATTGACCCCTTCAACAATTAGCACCCGCACATACAGATAACATTTAAATATTTTTCAAGGCTAATATTCAACCACTGGTAGCGGTCTTATCTTAATTGTTAACCATAACCTTCTTGGTATCTTCTGTATATGGTAATTGTACAAAGAAAATGTTTGCTTTACATTATCTGTTCTAAGGTAGGGGTCTGCAAATTGGGACCTCCTAAATCTCCTGAGCACCCTAGCACCTTATGGAGCTTAATTGTGTGACAAGGTCTTCCTGTCTGTGTGTGAACGAATACTGTTCCCTACCTGAGTTAGAACCGATTTCAAACAGTACCAGGTAAACCTTTTGACAGTCATGTTCAGTTTATTAGATTATGTTTTAACTTTAAACCAAAAATTTGTTCCTTCAGTACTGAGTGCCTAGTTTGACAGGACAATAAATTTTGAGGTAGAGTGAGCTATCACAGAGTCGTTTATCCTTTATTGAAAAGGGCAGTATCATCAAGATTGAGTAGTTTCTGAAAAACCTTGCAAAAGTTTGTGTCAGAAATAACTAAGAATGTACAAAGTACCACCTGGGGTTGCTTGATCTTGCTATAATAGTGGCGTACGTAAATACTGTTAAAGAGTGTCTGATTAACGTCTAGAAGCAAGTGGACTGAAACTAATAAACGTCAGAATGATGAAGTTTTCGTGTTTCTCTTTCTCGTTTGATCACACTTTGAAATTAATGTCTTTCTTGTGTTGTTTGGGGTTCATTATATCTCTCACAATTATATCACACCAGTTGAGATAAAATCCTGGGAATGACCTTCAAATTAGTGCGCAAATTTCACGAGCTTGAACGTAAAACTGCCGAGAAAATAACAAAAAATGTTACTCATGGATCTTGTTGTTCCAAAGGTTCTCAAACAGAATCCGTTCTGGTGGACTCATCAGCGACATGATGGCAAATTGTGGAATCTGAATAACTACCGCACAGACATGATCCAGGCGCTGGGTGGCGTGGAAGGTATCTTGGAACATACACTTTTCAAAGGAACGTACTTCCCAACCTGGGAGGGTCTGTTCTGGGAGAAAGCTAGTGGATTTGAGGAGTCCATGAAGTACAAAAAACTGACCAACGCACAGCGCTCTGGATTGAATCAGATTCCCAACAGACGATTCACACTCTGGTGGTCACCCACTATAAACAGGGCCAATGTAAGTGACTCACAGTATAGCTTATAGAAGGGTCCATATATAACGTAACTGCTTAAAATTCAAGATGGCGTCTCGCGACATATTTTTTTCGTGGAACGTGTGCCGATTTTATGAAACCAACAACGTTTGATCACCACTGCCAAAGAATTTATTTTTAAAAAACTCACAAGGGTTTTAAGTAAGGTGTAGTAAACAATTTTAGTTGCTAATGTGAAGGCTAATTTTTTGAAAACTTTGTCGCCTTGCCGCCCATACGAGACGCAATTTTATGTTCTGCGTTGTGTCTTGTTTCTTTGTTTTAGCGTTTTGTTAATAATTTAGATATAATAATCCTGTTCAGGGAAAAATAACCAAATCAACCAACCGGCGCCTGCCACCCTGCGGCGCAAGGTAAGATTTCAACGATGTCGTGCTTGTGAAGGCAACGTTTTGTTCAGATGTTGTCTTAGTAACCTAGCCATCAGGCCTTCCTTGGAGGGCTGGGGAAGAAAGGACATTAGAAAGGTTGGATCATTATATTGTACATTTTTGTGAAACTACCCACCTACCCTTAGGAGGGGTAGGTGGCTAGTTTCCCCGAAACGTGTAATGATCCTTAATGTCTTAGGGGCATTTTGACCGCTACTCTCGCTCCAACCTTATCTTTGTTTGATTTCTTGCAGGTTTACGTTGGATTCCAGGTTCAGCTTGACCTCACCGGAATCTTCATGCACGGCAAGATTCCAACACTGAAGATCTCACTCATTCAGATTTTCAGAGCTCACTTGTGGCAAAAAGTACACGAGAGTGTTGTCATGGACTTGTGTCAGGTAAAGTTCAATCCTAGACTCATCTATAGAGCGTTTCCACTCACCTTGCCAACAGCTGTGCAAATTTCTTGGAACATAAGTTAGTTTTAACAGACGAGAAAGGTTCAACTTCCACACGGTACTGGTTTAGGACACCAACATAGCCTCCGTTTCATTTTGGGGGACACCAACATGGCGGACTTGACGTCAGATGAAAAAGCTCTATAAGGACACTAAGGGCGCGTTGGATTGACGCTATTACAGAATAAGAATAAATCATGGAACAAACTTAGGAAATAATCTGTTTAGGCAATTCATGACATCGTAATATCTGCAAATCTAAATGAAGTACAGTATTACGATGTATGTAGCACCCCGGTGGTCCAAAAAAATCTGGTAAAAGAGATTTCTAACAAAATTTCTGTGTATTCTTATTTCGGAATAAAATCAATCGAACGCTACCTTAAACGCTCGAGTATCTGTTAATTAACAAGTACACAATACTATAGCACTGAGCGTGTCACGCGTTGTGTCGTCAATGTTTGTAAAATGTACGTTAAGGTATGATCACGCATTTCAGGAAAACGTAAATAGAGACAGTTACCCGTGTAGGAACTTATCAACTTTGATGACGTTTTATGTAAAACGTTTTCTTTGCGATGATCGTGACCGTTTGGCCTACACTTATGAAAAGAATTTACAGTGCAACGAACTCAAGCGGGGCCTTCACTACTCAACCAATCACGGGTCACAATAACAGCAAGATTGGTACAGTTTCAAAGTGTCGTTGCAGGGTCCGGTTGAGTTTGTTACATTGTAAGGTATGAGTTTTAAAATGAAAGTTAACTTGTACGTCTGGACTGAGTATGTGTCGGTAATCAAGTATTAGAATTTGTACAAAACGCAAGTGAAGTTACCGGTATTCCTTAATTTTACGAGTATACCATTTGATTACCTATTAATGTCATGTTGTCATGGGTAACAAATTTTGCTCACAGTCGTACGTTTTTTGACATGTTTATCGTCTCGATAGAGAACTCCACGCACTGAAAAGTTTAGAGCATAGTTTTTGGCTTATGTTCACAAGTTTCTGAATTTTTCGACAAAACACTTGTTAGAATGCTCTTTGATGTAGTCTTTCGCGTGTTTAGGTTTTCTTCATTGATAACATGTTAAAACTTCGACGCTATCTTGAATATAAATCATAAATTAACTCTGAAATTTGGCGCCAAAATTAAGGAGTAATTTACCCATGATGTTAGCCTTTTGGCGTAGGATCTCTTCTGATCTCTCTCTTTGAAAATTTATTTTTCAACCACGGATTTGATTTAATTAACTGTAATGTAACTGTTGGTTGTCATAATTATTGTAGGTTTTTGATCAAGAACTGGATGCTCTTGAGATTGAGACAGTGCAGAAAGAAACTATTCATCCTCGTAAATCGTACAAGATGAACAGCTCATGCGCTGATATCCTCTTGTTTGCTGCATACAAGTGGAACGTCTCCAAACCTTCTATTCTGGCTGATTCCAAGTACGTCTCTCCTTTCTTCGTGCTCAAATTCTCTTAACGTGCATGAACAGTTGATAACAGCCTTGTAGGAAAACATTGGCAGTTAAAACAAATCATTTCGATTATATTTGCTTCCATTCTTTCTCGGCTGTCTTCACTTTGGTTTGTAACAAATGAGCCTTTCAAATTTAAGCGATACAAGATGCCTTTTGCTAATACATATTTTTAGGCATTTCTTACAACTCCACCATGGATCACTGGGCCCCTTTTAGTCGTGTTTGATAATAGTTATTGTTGATGAGTCGGCATAGTCTGTCCGTCGAGCGCGCGTCCGAAAAAAAAAATTTGCGAGGGATTTTGTGTTCACCAGTGCATGGGTTGTGGGAGTTGTGTAAGTGGCTCACGTCTCGTGCGCTCGTTGAATTTCTTTGGAAAAATCTATAGGACGAAAAAGTGTCTGGAAGACTGCCTGGAGGCAAGTGTTCGTCCATTTTTATGATGCGTTTGCTTGAATATGTATTGATATTACAAGGATAAATTTAATGCCGCTTAGTATGTTAAAGAAATCTTCACTTCATTCGTAGTGACATCATGGATAGCACCACAACTCAGAAATACTGGGTCGATGTACAACTTCGCTGGGGTGACTACGACTCTCATGACATCGAGAGATACGCACGCGCCAAATACCTTGACTACACTACTGATAACATGAGCATTTACCCCTCCCCCACTGGGGTCCTCGTTGGAATTGATCTGGCCTACAATCTTCACAGGTTAGAGAAGAATGCGCCTGCCGTCTTTTCATAAGCAGTGCCAGTTATTCGAAATGCCAAGAGTTAGGTCCTTGTTGGTAACATGGCTTCAGGAACATTGGTGTTCCCATTTGGGTAGAAATTTTCACAGCAATATGCGCCGCTCAATTTGAAACTCCTTGTCGAATAAGCCATTCGTTTAAAAAGCTGACTCTTTACCTTAAAACTCCTCCATCTCACTACTAGAAAGATGGCATTGTCAGACCTAAACTTGACACTTGCGGTGCGAATTCCCCACCCCACCCCTGCAGTGGTCAAATTCCCTTCTCCCCTGGCGCAGGTGATGGTCAAATGCCCGGGGTTTGCCCAGGGGAGGTTGTGGAAGTTTCATTTTGATCGGTGCTTTAGATTGCAAGATAATTCATATGGAAGTGCACATTGGATAGTTAGGTATTGTAGACACTAAAAGTGAATGGTATTCAATAATTTGATGGTAGTAGCAGTTAACATATCCATTTCATAATAGGGATGAGCTTCCTTTCTTGCAGCGCGTTCGGTAACTGGTTCCCTGGTGTGAAACCCCTGATCCAGCAAGCCATGGCTAAAATCATGAAGGCTAACCCGGCCCTGTACGTGTTGAGAGAACGAGTCAGGAAAGGTCTGCAGCTGTACTCCAGTGAACCCACTGAGCCTTACTTATCCTCACAGAATTACGGAGAACTCTTCTCAAACCAGATTATCTGGTTTGTGGATGACACCAACGTCTACAGAGTCACAATTCACAAAGTGAGAGCTTACTTTTGTCACCTTTGCTATTATCTTTTCCAACGTTCTTCACATCTGTAAAGCGTGTATAGGTATTGCGGTTTCATAAAATGAGTCATCGCACGGAAACCCTTTTTAAGCTGAAAAACAGACTGAATTCTTTACAGTGTTCAAGCGAGCTCTCGCTTGTACTTCCGTTGTAATTTAGAAGCCGCTAACATACTTCTTGTACGGAGAAAACAGTTTTAAACCGTTAGAACTAAAGTGTTTTTTTACTTGGGTGTGAATGGAAAAAAATTCTTCTGAGAAAAATTCTTCTTAATGGTAAATAGCGTGCATTTTGAATCATCCTCTGAAAGTCGACGTAAAAGACATTTTTAATTCTACACTTATCGTTTAACACGTGCCTCTGCGTTTTCATTTCAGACGTTCGAAGGCAACTTGACCACGAAACCAATCAACGGTGCCATCTTTATCTTCAATCCTCGCACGGGACAGCTTTTCCTCAAAATCATCCACACTTCAGTATGGGCTGGACAGAAACGTTTGGGACAGGTAGGTCTTGTATCTTATGGTGATTATCCTGCGTGACAGGCGTCGATAGGGGAGGGGAGGGGAGGGGAATGAAGGTAAAAAAACCGGAGGGGATGGGGTAGAGAAGGAAAGAACTGCCCCTCCCTTCTCCCTTTCGCGCTTTTCTCCCCTTCCCCTCCCCTTTTTTTGCAGCTGCTACGCAGGCTATATGGCGATGTGTTAGCTGTTCAAGCCATGAAAAAATGTGACATGGTCGTGCGGGATTTTTGGATTCGGTCACTTTCACGAACAGAGTTTCTGACTTAACATGTCCGATTCAGACCTTTTTTTAAGTTCCACTGGCAAAGTTTCTTGCATTGTAAGCCATATATTCTTACGCAAACACGTGGATCCAGGGGAAAGAAAGCTGACTGTCCTCCGGGTCAGACGTCAAGTGTATATTGTATTGGTCGGCAGTATCTCACCTTAACTATCTGAACTAACAAAGGGCTGAAATTCTTTATTGGTGTGTTGTTTTAGTTGGCCAAGTGGAAGACAGCTGAAGAAGTAGCAGCTTTGATTCGTTCACTGCCGGTTGAAGAACAACCCAAACAGATCATTGTGACCAGGAAAGGGATGCTTGATCCTCTCGAGGTGTTGTATAGTTACACTTTAGGGTTACGTCAAGGCATCGTCACATTTTCCGTCTTTGTTGGCTTCTGGACTCTGTTAGATAGACTTATGTCACCCGTGTCGCTTTTTGTAATTGTGGTGTAGTTTTGTTTTGAGGGAAAACTGATACAAGTGTCTTAATGTTTCAGGTCCATCTGCTGGATTTCCCTAACATCGTTATTAAGGGCAGTGAACTGCAGCTTCCTTTTCAGGCCTGCTTAAAGGTTTGTGTTTAAAGCATAGATTTGTTATAAATGAAGGAAGATGGAAGGAAAAGTTGGCCCAACGTTTTTAAGTTTCAATCCATGTTTATCCTTGGCATCCGTTGGAACAGATGACAGGATACAGATTCCAATGCCTTGGTCTTAAATAACAAAACTGGACCATTCAGTTGATGCGAAGACAAGTTTTAGCTTTTCCCCTGTAAGCCCCGAGAGTGACCAACATCAATTTTCGCCTCAAACTATCAAAACACAATGCGAAGAAAAAATTGTGAGAATTACTAAAATTATCACCTTAAGTAAATTGCTTCGATCTTTTAACAAATTCTCTCAACTGGTTTTTCAAGGAAACATACAGAGATCAGTATGGAGAATTTCTAAGTGGATACTGAGGCTTAAAGGGTTAATAATTTCTGTTCTCTTGTACCTTGTAGGTAGAAAAGCTTGGAGACATGATTCTGAAAGCAACCGAGCCACAAATGGTATTGTTCAATCTGTATGATGATTGGTTAAAGACCATCTCTTCATACACGGCGTTTTCTCGTCTGATCCTCATCCTTCGTGCCTTGCACGTGAATGCTGACCGAACAAAGGTGCTCCTTAAACCAGACAAGACCACTATCACTGAGCCACATCATATCTGGCCAACCCTGACTGATGAGGAATGGGTACCAGTTGAGGTATGTTACGTGTGAACGCTTGTCTGTAATCTAGGGTGGCAATGCGTACCTGCAACTGTTAGTGTAGTTTGTTTTGCCTCTTAATTATGTGCTAAAACTCGGTTAGAATGATTTGAGAAACGTGTCAATTATCGCCTTTTTTTTTCTCGTGCATTACTGTAGTTGACTAGTTCACTGCCTTTCTCTGTTTCCATTTTTAATCCTTTGTTCGATAATGGTTTCTTCGCCTTTTGAATCGTTCTTTCTTTTCTTTCCTGTTGTATAGGTTGCACTGAAGGATCTCATCTTGGCCGATTATGGCAAAAAGAACAAGTGAGTTGACTGCTTTTAACTTGAATCTTCACACAATTACATTCAAATTGCCTTTTGCCTTGAATACTTACCGTACTCTCCTTCGGTCTAACAGTACCATTTATGTTTCTTCTCTAGCGTGAATGTAGCTTCCTTGACCCAGTCTGAGATCCGAGACATCATTCTGGGTATGGAGATCTCAGCACCCTCGCAACAGAGGCAACAAATCGCTGAGATCGAGAAGCAGACCAAAGAACAGTCGCAGCTAACAGCTACCACCACCCGAACCACCAACATCNTCTCGTCTGATCCTCATCCTTCGTGCCTTGCACGTGAATGCTGACCGAACAAAGGTGCTCCTTAAACCAGACAAGACCACTATCACTGAGCCACATCATATCTGGCCAACCCTGACTGATGAGGAATGGGTACCAGTTGAGGTATGTTACGTGTGAACGCTTGTCTGTAATCTAGGGTGGCAATGCGTACATGCAACTGTTAGTGTAGTTTGTTTTGCCAATTATGTGCTAAAACTCGGATGGAATGATTTGAGAAACGTGTCAATTATCGCCTTTTTTTTTTCTCGTACATTACTGTAGTTGACTAGTTCACTGCCTTTCTCTGTTTCCATTTTTAATCCTTTGTTCGATAATGGTTTCTTCGCCTTTTGAATCGTCCTTTCTTTTCTTTCCTGTTGTATAGGTTGCACTGAAGGATCTCATCCTGGCCGATTATGGCAAAAAGAACAAGTGAGTTGACTGCTTTTAACTTGAATCTTCACACAATTACATTCAAATTGCCTTTTGCCTTGAATACTTACCGTACTCTCCTTCGGTCTAACAGTACCATTTATGTTTCTTCTCTAGCGTGAATGTAGCTTCCTTGACCCAGTCTGAGATCCGAGACATCATTCTGGGTATGGAGATCTCAGCACCCTCGCAACAGAGGCAACAAATCGCTGAGATCGAGAAGCAGACCAAAGAACAGTCGCAGCTAACAGCTACCACCACCCGAACCACCAACATCCACGGTGATGAGATCATCGTCTCCACAACGTCCAACTACGAGACCCAGACATTCTCCTCTAAGACTGAGTGGCGTGTAAGAGCAATATCAGCTACTAACCTGCACTTGAGGACGAATCATATTTATGTTTCTTCTGATGACATCAAGGAGACTGGTTTCACGTATATTTTGCCCAAGAATATCCTCAAGAAGTTTATCGTTATTTCGGATTTAAGGACACAGGTAAGTGATTTCTTTGCTAGCGAAGGTGACAAAAGCCAAACAATAATCGCTCAAGCCTTTCTTACTGGAGAAGTTGCGGTGTAAATTTTTCATCCACCTGGCCCCAGTTGTTAAAAAGGTCGATTACACTCTCCGCCGGATCCAGTGAAGAACAATTGTTTTCTGTAGTACTTATCTTCTGGTTAGTGATTTATTCGGTGTATAGTTCTTTCGAACGTTCGAACAACCTGGCCCTGATTAGCTTCAATAAAAGCCCTTTTCTTAACAAAAAGTCTCCGATATGTCACACCCTTTGCGGAACTCAACTACTTGGAAATCATACCTTTTACATCGGCTCATACTAATGTATATTTTGTATGAGATACCCCCCCCCCCCCCCCATCCCCCTTTACAAGCATTTTCCCTTTTTCTTTTCGCCCGGGTTTTCCCGGTGGGGGGGGTAAAAAAAACCTCCCCCCCTCATTTTCAACTATTTACCCCACAGATCCGCGCCTCTGTTCCGGGTGCCACCCGACACCCATCCCCCAAGGGGAGACAAACGCCCCCCTTTGATT